GGTTTGCTTTCTGGGCACACTCAGCATGGTACCTGTCATTATAAGTGATTAGTTTGGACATACTGTACGTTTGGGAAATTAAGATAACAGTTTCAAACGTTAAATTTTGCATTTGTTCTCTTAACTCCTATATATCACTACTAACTAACAATAGATATACAAGAATGCGTGTCAGTATTGCAACTGCAATGAATGAGTGAGTGTCTGAGTAGGTTGGGTTTAACGTCGCTTTGAACTGCTAAATCGCGGCGTGTTAACTTTGTGTGGGAGGCAAGTCCGAAGTGATGCAGGCCACAGACGTTTACCATTTTGGTGAAACCCACGAGCACGGGCTTTGGTGCTGACAAACCTAGAAACATATTTGGAACGATCATAGGATTCTGGCGTGCCTAAGGGACGCAATTCTGCAAAAACTGCACACTGCATACTCCAATGAAAGAGAAAGTCAATTCTTATATTTTTTATAACAATTTCTTACCTCAAAGGATGTGGGCCAAGATCTATACACAATTTTATGTAGTACGTGTGACTTCATGTTTACACTGACAGCCATACAACAACCAGCTATTTCGCGGAATAAAACGAGAGGTGATATGAGCGTATGAATGCACTACTTGCTCTTCAGAAACATCTTACGCAACACATCACATCGTAATACATTTACATCAAGTACAAATGGCCGACACGATAAACGTGACAGGAGAGATTTCGGGAGTTGCTACTGAACCCATGACGGTTACATGTTTAGTGATCACTGATCAATTGGCCGATCATTGAGGGTGTTTAAAGATGTGTCAAATAGACACTTAATTAAATTCCTAGATTGCTGTAGACTGTTACTGCCAGCCTAGACACGGATCGAGTCGATTCTACCATAGTTTGGATGTGCATTTCTTCGTTTTGTTCACTAGGATTGGTCGTAGCGAGGATATTCGTGGACTATAGTGCAGTCAAATTCGCTGACGTTTCTCAATGTACACTAAAACGCCGAGTTCAAGATTAAAGAGTCGAAATGATAAGAAAGAACGCTTATGTATGTATTCATGCTAAGGCTTTCCCAGGGGTTTTCCCAGGAATGTGTAAGTAGTCCGTCAGTGTTTAACGTCATTTCAAGAACCCGGTCTCGTGAAAAAACGTATGAACGTCAAATTGTGTCGTTCATACACTTATGAACGTCAATTTCGCGGTCAGGTGATCGACCTCTCGTCCAATTGAAAGGCCGTATATCGTGTCAACTTCAAATTAAAACATTATATAGAAATGATCTCATGCCGGTTTGTGAATAAACACTACATTCCAACTTATTGTATATCACCCACACGTACATTGTTCACTAATGTGTAACATTCCAGGAGGATGTAGACGTGTTCACATTTTTAAGATGACAAGATTGCTTACAGTTTCTGTGACACGTCCCCACGGCGATGACCGTCTATCAGAGATCGCTGTGTTTATGAGAAAAGTAGACAGCCGTAGGGCTCAGCGTTACATGTCAACTCGCTTTCGACAATTGCTAGATATCGATTTCATATTACATATGAGAGATTTTTGTCAGTGTTAATCAAACGATTTAAAATGTATTCAGCTGTGTGTAATAAACGTTTTGTTTGTGACACCGATTCATATAGTGTGTCTTCTTATTAACTACGTATATGTAGAATAAATGTGAAAAATTATTCAGTTAGAATAAAATGTCATTAATCACGTCAATTTCTGTGATGAATGTATTGTAATACGACGCATGTATTAAGTTTAAGTACTTGTTTAAAATGTTAAAAATCAGTATTTCCTATTCATCTTTAAACCTTTTCTCTTGTGATTTGCGATGCATGCTGTAGCCATCACCTGGAAATGTGATAAATCCTCTCATTATTGCGATTTAAATAGATAAATCCTCTCATTATTGCGATTTAAGTAGTTTAAACATGGTGATTAAGTTTATATTGCTTCCCTTTAAATGGTCTCTTTGGAATAATCGTTGTCATGGATGACTTTTAAATGAAAGGTCTTTTACGTCTCACCTTTGTGAATGTAAATTAGAAAACTCACTGCCTTATCGCTGACACAAGATAAAGCGTCCTAACTGAATGGAATGATACATGGAAGACGCTACTACACACTCTGGTCACTTTTGATGAATTAGTTTTGTTTAACGCCACTCTCAGTAATACAACGCGGCAGCCTGTAATTAATCGAGTCTGAACCAGATAAACCATGATTGATATGACTATGCCCCATGGCATTGGGCTATCGTTGCACGTGACCAACCAAGTCAACTTGTCTGACCACCCGATTCATTTAGACCCGTAGTACGACAAGTTGCTGGGAGTGAGTGAGTTAGATTTAACGCCGCTTTTAACAGTTTTCCAGTTATATCACGGCGTGTCAGCTTAATCTGGGAGCAAAGCCCGCAGTGATGCAGGTCTCAGACGTTTACCTCTTCGATGAAACCCACGAGCAGGGGTTTGCTGACAAACCTAGAAACATAATCGGTTTCTGGATTGCCCAAGGGACGCAACTCTGCACAGCGAATCCCGGTGCCTTAGACGACTGGACCACCCGTGCCCCCTATTGTAAAAAGACGCATGTATTAGGTATTAACATAGGTTGTTGGGGACCCATTTCTGTGACGAACGTATTCTAATAAGACGCATGTATTAGGTACAAACATAGGTTGTTGGAGACCCATTTCTGTGACGAACGTATTCTAATAAGACGCATGTATTAGGAACAAACATAGGTTGTTGGGGAACCATTTCTGTGACGAACGTATTCTAAAAAGACGCATGTATTAGGTATAAACGTAGGTTGTTGGAGACCCATTTCTGTGACGAACGTATTCTAGTAAGACGCATGTATTAGGTGTATACATAGGTTCCTGGGGAACCATTTCTGTGACAAACGTATTGTAAAAAGACGCGTGTAATAGGTACAAACGTAGGTTGCTGGAGACCCATTTCTGTGACGAACGTATTCTAATAAGACGCATGTATTAGGAACAAACATAGGTTGTTTGGGAACCATTTCTGTGACGAACGTATTGTAATAAGACGCATGTATAAGGTACAAACATAGGTTGTTGGGGACCCATTTCTGTGACGAACGTATTGTAATAAGACGCATGTATCAGGTGTAAACATTGGTTGTTGAGGAACCATTTCTGTGACGAACGTATTGTAATAAGACGCATGTATTAGGTGTAAACATTGGTTGTTGAGGAACCATTTCTGTGACGAACGTATTGTAATAAGACGCATGTATTAGGTGCAAACATAGGTTGCTGGAGACCCATTTCTGTGACGAACGTATTGTCATAAGACGCATGTATTAGGTGTATACATAGGTTGCTGGGGAACCATTTCTGTGACGAACGTATTGTAAAAAGACGCGTGTAATAGGTACAAACGTAGGTTGTTGGAGACCCATTTCTGTGACGAACGTATTGTAATATAGACGGAGCAAAAGCTATGCCTTTTATTTAAGTAATATTTGTCCCTTGGTGATTTCAGGTTAGATTTTGTCCTAAGTAACATTTTATGCTTGTCGGTGACCATGGCTGATTGCATGACTTTGTCATCGTACTACCAACCACTGATTTACTGGCCAAGAATCAGTTACTTACAGGACATCGTTATATACATGTATACTCGCCGAAAAAGGAAACGCGAATACCACACGTTAGTTAATATATGTAGATATTCATATTCAAGAGATATTAAATTGGTTCGACACTGAAACAAACATACTGGTATGTTGTGTGAATCGACGTTCATGAACACATGTGACGTCATAGACCCATGACTTGAGACATTTGTCTCGCGTAGGATTAGCGTGTACAGTTTGAAATGACGTGCAGCATATCGTGATAAGAATAAAGGCACTATGTGGTAACACTTGACTGATTGTTTTGTCATTAAGTGGTACACATTGGAAACGTCTCTTCTTTACGTACATACGTCTCTGTCTGTTTCTATGTTTCGCGTTTCGTGAGTGTAGTTGAAAAAACTCTTGACTTTAAGACAATAAACACAGAAACAAACAAATATGTTAGAGATAGAGAAAAGATTTACAACATTTCATGCATTGCTACACTGATACATGTAAAAAGCACACCACAATGGATGAAAGCATATCTAATAATACGCAATCTCGACATCGCGAACCCTTTTATTTCGATGTGACGTTTAAGACTTTAAAGTCCTTATACTATAATTCGACAGATAGTTGATGATATCCACTGACAACAGATTTAAATGTATTTGAGAAACATTTATTACTAACACACTTTTATGTAATTCTCGTTTAAGGTATAATTCCCATGTCAAATGTGAAAGAAAAGTTGAACTAATGTGATTATGCATATTCTTGGCTAATGCTGACGGGACGCCGGTCTGAGATAGCTTATCACGGAGACACTTTTACAACCTATTTAACGTTTATTAGTTAATACCCTGCGGATGACCAACCAGACGCTGACCAGTAACGTATATTGACAAAGTAACAAAATATCATAAAATAAATTACGGAATAAATGTATGCACCTCAGTGATACATGTATCAGCGAATACATCAAGATTTATTGAATATATAAAATATTTCTTTAATGATTTAATTTGTTCTTAGCAGCAACTAATTATAACTTGTCAAACCACAATTGTTATTGCGGTTGTCCTCACTGCATGAGCTATTGCAATTTGAGACCTAATAAATGTCAAACATTTATTTAATAAACTACACTGATCTGAATATATTAACGAAAGTAATGTTGAAATTGTCATCCCCGACCCTTAAATCTAATCCACTCTTACCCCCTGCCCTTTCCATCACCCGTGTGCACCCCATGGTTTTGGAAACCGAACCCTCCCTTCGAATTACATGATGAAACAACTTTATGGATACTTAATTTTTATTGGCTGTTACCTCTTCCTTTAAAAGCAACTTTTTCCATTTGCAGAGACACAGCCAGACAAATACAGTCTTGCAAACGGTTCATGGTAAAGATGCTGGTACGTATGTCTTACTATTTAGGTATCTAGTGATAGTTAACATGATCAATCAGACTGTATGTTCTAGGGGATTGCTTAAACCTTGATCAGAAAATGTTGTCATATATATAAATCCAGCATCATTAACTTCATGAGGTCTATGTTCGTGATAAGACCAATGCTTACATGTAAGAACCGTTGTCATCACGAGGTTAAAACTATCCTAAAGAGAAATAGAATATCCTTTTCGTATCTACTTTCTAACCATTTAATAAACTGCACTCTGTCGGTGATGTGTGGGCACTTTCATAATTTCAAATCACTTTCAGACCCAAGCCTTTCTTGTCGTCGTGGTGGTAGCCATTGCGTCTGCTGGTGACGTTGACAATGGCAATTACAACAAACAAGGCCATTCCTTGAACAATAGAAGGCTGGTCGGCAACAGTGGCAGCATCAACGACGGTGGCAGATATAGATCTGGACTGTCTGAGGGTAGTTCGGTTGGATCTCATGGAGGTGTTGTTGGCAATGGACACACCCTTGGTAATCAAAACAGACGCATTGGTAGTATCCATGGAAACACCGGCATCGGCAACACCCACGGCAACAACAACTACCATGGTAACAACAATTTTCGTGGCAACAACATCCATGGCTCTTCCCCTGTTAGATCTAACGGCTACGGAACCGAGAACGGTTTAGTTGGTGGTGTAGGCACTGGCGGTTATGATAATGGTAATGTCGGCGGTCTTCGTAACCACGGTAACGTCGGGTCAAATACCGGCTACGGCCAGAACTCCATCGGTAATGTCCGTTATGATAATGGTAACACCATTGGAATTGGTAATAGTTTTGGCAACAACAGAATTTCGTCTCTTGGGGGAAATGGTGCCTATTCTAATAACGGTAACATTGGAGGTTCAGGGCATGGTTCAGACATTGGGGTTATTGGAAAGAATTTCCAGGGACATCGAGGATTTGACGCTAATAATGGCATTGGATCCGATATCCATGGGTCGAATAATTTCAATAGTGGAAATGGATACAACAATGGGGTTTCAAATCTTGGAAATAATAATGGTTTCAGTCATGGAAACTCGGGCCTTGGTGGTAATAACATGCACAGTTCCAATAGGTTTGGAGGCTCAGGTATCCATGGTAACTCTGGTTTAACCAATAGTGGCTCTGTTCTTGGTGGTATCAAAGGTTACAGCGGAAACAACTTTAACGGTGACAACGGTTTTGGACGTGGGAATTCTGTTCTCGGTGGAAATGCCATTCATGGTTCTGGCGTTGTTAATGGGAATTCTGGTTTTGGAAACAATGGGATCCATGGTTCCAATGACTTTGTAGGTCACACGGGTATCGGCAACCAGAGAGGAATAGTTGGAGACCACCATAACGGTTTTGTGACAGGTAACGGCATTGCTGGAAACAATAATTTTAATTCAGGGTATAACAACAATGGAGGATCTTTGTATAATAATAATGGTGTTATATCAGGGAATACTGGTATCCATGGCAACTCTGGTAGTGTTGGAAGTACTGGATATGGTAACGATGGTGGCTCTGTTATATCCGGTCAGGGGATTGGGAGTGGCATCAATGGCGGCATAAATGGTGGTCATAGTAACATAGGTAACATCAATGGCGGCATTAATGGTGGCCATAGTAACATAGGTAACATCAATGGTGGCATTAACGGTGGCCATAGTAACATAGGTAACATCAATGGTGGCATTAATGGTGGCTATAGTAACATAGGTAATATCAATGGTGGCATTAATGGTGGCCATAGTAACAAAGGTAAATTCAATGATGGCATTAATGGTGGCCATAGTAACATAGGTAACATCAATGGTGGTGGCAACTTACATAACGGAGTTGGCAACGTAAACCAAGGTTTTGTTGGTGGTAACAATGGTTATAGGGAAGCCTTTAATGGTAACAATGGTAACAGCGGTATCTACAATAGCGGAACGGGTCTTAACAGGGGAAACCATGGATCTTTGGTTGGAAGGAATGGAAACGCCGTAGGGTTCAACCGTGGAGGTTCCTATACCAACTCTGGATCAGTCAGTCTCGGAAGTCCCGGCTACAGTAACAATCTACGAGGCTTCGGCGACGTCCATGGCAACAATGCAGGCTTTGCTGGTGACAATGGTGATTATGGTAACAATAACAACTTCGGTAGACTCAATAATGGCCATGGTAACGAGAACTTCAACAACGCCGGTTACAGCAACAACGTTGGTCAGGGTAACAGTCATGGTAACATTCGCATTGGTGGAAACGGCGGTTACAACAACAATGTTGGTCAGGGTAGCAGTCACGGTAACATTGGCACTCGTGGAAACGGCGGTTACAACAATGGTGGTGTCCAACTGACTGGTGCCCAAAATCAGAATGTAAGGCGCAGTCACATCGTTGGCTAATCATGCCGGTGCCTTGAACAACAACTTGCTTGCGGTGACCACTTCAACAATGGTAACCAGTCTGGGAAGAAAAACTGTTTCAAAGATGTGGACGTCGGAAAAGACTTTGGCTTCTCTGACAGTTCCCGTAATGTCCCAATGTATTCGCAGGACTGTTAGATTTCCCGATCTACTTTCGTTAACTTGTAATACAAGTATGTTTGAGGTAGTAAATTAATCTTACCTATACGTGTGTTTGTGCCTGTGTTTTGTTCTGTAGTCATCCATATTATTTCATATACTCATTTTATTACTTCTCGCAAAATGGATTATGACCACTCCTCACGTGACCCGTCCGGGTCTTTAGCAACCCATGATTGACGTAAAAGGCGACTGTACCTGTCGTAAGAGGCGACTAACGGGATCGGGTGGTCAGGCTCGCCGACCTGGTTGATGCATGTCATCGCATCCCAATTGTGTGGATCGATGCTTATGATGTCAATCACTGGATTGTGAGGTCCAGACTCGATTATTTACTGACCGCCGTCATATAGCTGGAATATTGTTGAGTGCGCCGTTCAACAACAAACAAACAAACAAAACTCTTCACGTGGTGATTACTCCTCGGATTATGTCTTCTCCTCACATTCTGAATGCTCGTCACCTTTTGACTCATCGTCTTCTGATTACTCATCTTGATCACCCTTTGGCCATTCCATGAAATTGCATATCCTCATTCTATAACTTCTCGCTTGATGACAAAGCATCAGATTCTGATTACAACTACTTCCGCCTTTTGATTTCTCACATTTTAATTACTCCTCGTATTATGACCACTCATCACATTCTGATACAAACTCGCCTTTTGACTCCTCACATTTTAATTACTCCTAGTATTATGACCACTCATCACATTCTGATAAAAAACTCGCCTTTTGACTCCTCACATTTTAATTACTCCTAGTATTATGACCACTCATCACATTCTGATAAAAAAAACCTCACCCTTTGACTCCTCATATTTTGATTACTCCTCGGATTCTGTCCTCTCCTCACATTGTGATTACTCGTCACCTTTTGACCACTCCTCCCATTTTCATTATTTCTCTTATTATTCCTCGCCTTTGGCTCCTCTGCACTTTTTTTACTCCTCGCATTCTGCTTCATCCTCGTTTCCTGATGACTCCCCGTATCCCGATTACTCCCCGTATCCTGATTACTCCCGGTATCCTGATTACTCGTAGCATTCTGACCACTCGCAGCATTCTGCCTCCTCCTTGCAGCAGTCTCATTTCTCCTCGCATTAATTTGCTTCTCCGGAATCAAACAACGTGTATTTTAAGTTGCTTAGCTACATTAAGGCTGTCTGGTTCTCCTAGATGTTGAGACATTTATGTCCGTCTACCTTACCGATAGATCCGTTTAGAGGTAAAATTACAAAAATATCTCCAATCTGTGTAATAAGTGTCGCGGATGTGGCGGCACTTTTTGGTGTGGTCACTTCCCGGATATCCTTTCTGTTTCGATTGCATCTCTTCATGGCGCCTAATTTACACAAAACTTTGTCACGTGATAGAACACGCTGAATGAGAACATCTCCGGACAGCCAAACCAGGCGCTGGAATCGTTGTGTTGTAAAGTTGATATACTGTGTTGCATATATTCAAGCAAAGGTAACCATCGAACGCTCATTCAGTTCGCTGCTTAATACCAAAACGAGTCTTTCATTATTGTACTAAGTTTGACATCCAGGGTTTTTTCTTCTCATTTGCGAGATTCGTTCTATCAAGGTTCCTCACATTTGTTCTTTTGTGACGTAGTGATGGATAAGGTCTTCCGTCTTTTGTGAATCAATAATTATATTCTCTGAGGGAAAAGTATCTGATGTATTCATTGTTACTGAAAATTAATGACAACAGTGACGGTATCGACCACATGGCTTCACAGACTGATCAATGCAATATTCCAGCTGTTTAAACTCCACACCACTTGCGTTTAATGTTTAAATGCGTAGTTGTAAAAAAGGTTACATTTTCAATTTCGTTCAGTTATAATTTTAAAGTTTGTTTAAATTTTAGTATACATTATTAACCCTCTTAGACAGCAATAAGAATCTACAGAGATAAAGAGAGCAGTGTGTAGCTATAGTTTTGAGTTATTTGGTTACAAAACTTCTATAAAGAAAATAAACACAGTTCTTTTGCTTTGACGTAGATTTGCTTGGTGTGACAATGACAGCGATTCAAGTGACAGAATCAGAGAAGTCTCCTTGCTGGTCCCTCGACACTGGTCCCGGCAAACACTATGACTTCTTAGTGTTCACAAAGTGTGGGGCACGTCTGGTGAACAATTGACTTGCCTTTGTATGTGTTTATGACTGGTGCAATCGGTGGGGCCTTATGCGCTCACTTATTTCGCGAAAACCTGGTATCATCACTACTTGATAGTAATTCTTAAACACATGCTTCTGTTATTATTAGGAATATCACAAAGTGTAAAGGCAAGCCATATGATTGCCATATATGAGTACTTACACAGCTAGCGAATAGGTCATAAGACGTGTATTTGAGTCCTACAGAGCGATAGTGTTATTTCTGTGGACTGCCACTATGAGAGAATATTTCCAGTGCCTAGTGTAAAGTGATCCCCACCCCCCCCCCCCCCCCCCCCCTTCCCCCACGGCGCTTTCAAAATGCGGTTTCAGTGTGTTTGGTTATATGAGAAACACATGATGTTTTGTTAAAAAAACGCATTAAGGATCCATAAAACTTCGATCGAACCGTGACAGTTTGATTACTCGTATACACGATGGCTGTATGTATTGTTAACAATGCCATGCAAATAAACGATGTCTTGCAGATCAATATGTGTGTTTTTTTGTATGGAGAAGAACTTTACTCATGCTTATTGAAGTAACCTGCACGGGCACTGACTCTCTTTTCATCTTTTAATGATGTCGTCAGCTCATTTGTCGATCTCATTAGCGTCAGATGTCTGAAACGGATTTCATTCACTTTGTAACATCCTACATTATTCTTGATGTAATCAATCTTGTCCCCGGAGAGTAATCAATCACATAATATGCGGTGTTTAACCCTTTGTCGTTAAAGTTCAAACGATGGAATCGAGGATTTCTCAAAAGAACATTGACAGAACTCTTTCCTTTTTCAAGTGATGAAAGCAGGTAGAGGAGGTCTCTCTTGACGCAGAAAACGCCCACAAACAATGCATTTGATGAATCTGACAAGAAAACTTCCTAACAAGGCTTTATTGGATAGTTATGTACACGGTGATCTGCACACAGACGTCAGAGCAAGGGATTCTTGTCATAACGTGTTGTAAAATGTCACCAAGGAGCCTTTGTAATGAATTCATAACAGAAATGGCTTTCTTTGGTGACAGGGTTGTAGAAACATCCAGGTCAAAATTTCTGCTCCAAGAGTTTTTATGCCAGCATCCGAGCTAACCTTTATATCATTGATGGAAAGATCCCCAGGGGAAATAAGTATGCTGACAAGGCGCCAACACATGCCGGCTCATAAAAATCCCCTATCAAATATCGGCCCATGCTTTTTTTCAAAGAAGCTGTGAAGTTGGCTAGTCAGGTGAAATTGGTGATCTGGCGACGATATAAGCACACCATTATATAATCTGTCTGAACTCATTATATTGGACATGGAGAAGAGTGGTGTTGGTTATCTCATCGGATCCATTTGGAAAACGGATGCAAATGTACGACAACATGTATCGTTTAAATAACAGCTTATAAGAAATTGAAATTGCGTTTGGTATCGGCGTGGCTGGCTTGATTTGGCTTATCGGTAATGGCATCCATCACTCCAATCATTCGTTCACCCGGACCATTCCATTAGGAATCTGCACAGAAAATGAAATATGCTTTTACACACTTCCTGTTTATTTACCAAATATAGCGATTCAGCAGAGTTGAACATAAATCATTAGGCCTATGATATTTATGGTAAAATGTCATACTTATTTCTAGTTATTGAGTTGTTTTCCATGAGGAATATCGAAATACTTCTTAGTAGTCAGAATTATTAAAGACATTATTTCATTTAACCCGAATCAACCAAAATGACATGAATAAGTGACGTTGCATGTTTTAACGAAGCAAACATGTTTCAAGTAATATCAAGGCAACACAAGGAATGGGTTTCACACATAACACAAATGTTAAGAATTGAAACCAGACCAGCAGGACGAAAAGGCTCTTTAATTAGTAGGCTGTCGAACCTGCCAGATATGTCACAAGTTGATGCATTGTTAACGTAAAAGATGATAGAATACACCCCCCTCCCCTCCTCTACCAATACAAAAAACAACAACCAAAAACCTCAACATTTTTTGCAGTTAAAGAAGCAGGTTATCCTTTATTCTGTCATGCAGGCACTGGGGTGAGGTGCCTCAGTCCTCCCAACGAACACACACACTGTCCCATTGCGACATCACTACCGCCTTGTCTGTACCATACAGGGCAGACAGGATATAGATGGCGACACCGCTAATGAGACGAAAGGGAAGTGAACAGATGAGAGCTAACGTGAAGAACCTACTGGTGTACTGCACGGTATAGACAACGCTAAGGGTCTGGCTTGTCTCACTGTTTTTCTGGTCGTGGAGCTTCACCAGGTAAACTCGCTATCAGAACCTTACAGGGACCTCCAACGCTAAACGTTTTGTTTGTTTGTTGTTTAACGCCGCACTCAGCAATATTCAAGCTATATGACGGCGGTCTGTAAAATAATCGAGCCTGCACCAGACAAGCCAGTGATTAACATCATGAGCATCGATCCACGCAATTTGGATCGAAGACTGGTATCAACCAAGTCAGCGACCCTGACCACCCGATCCCGTTAGTCGCCTTTTACGACAAGCATAGTCGCCTTTTACGGCAAAAATGGGTTGCTGAAGAGCTATTCTATCCCGGAATCTTCACGGGTCTAACGTGACGGGGCAGTATGTCAGAATGTTTA